TGGTCCATCGGGTGCCAACAGTGAAATCAATGTTCTAGACCAATCACCGATATTCAACGACGTCTACCTTGGGAAATCGTATGATGTGCCGTTTGTAGCAAATGGGACGTCATACAAGTATGGGTATTACCTTACTGATGGAATATATCCCGAGTTAGCAGTATTTGTGAAATCATTCACATGTTCGAATGATGAAAAACGATTACAGTTTAAGGCGGCACAAGAATCTACTAGGAAGGGTATTGAGCACGCATTTGGTGTCCAAAGAGGCATTAGCGGATACTCTATGTACCGGCACGGTCTATAGGCATGTATCATATTGCATAATATGATTTTAGAAGATGAAGGGAGGGCGATTTGCCGCTACAATGAGAATGAGAATTTACCAAATATCGAAGGATTTTGTATTGGTTCGGAGGCGTACATGGCGAACAAAAGTGTACGATCGGGTTGGACACCACAACCATCATGCAGATTTGGTGGAACACGTCTTCAATGCTCAAAAGGAACCCGTTGTCGACGATTTTGTTGAAGACGACTTATTCGACGATATAGATGAGGAATCGGAAATGCTTGAAGGAGATTGGGATGAAGATTTTGATGACGTGCCAAACAACGATGAATAGAAGACTTGTTCATCTATGTTTCAAATATATATATATATATATATATATATATATATATATATATATATATATATATATATATGCCTAGGTTATTCTATTCAAACTAATTATTGTGTTATTGTATGCATAAATATGAGCCAATCATTTTACTTATTTTAAGAAAGTGATTAATACATATTATTGAATTAAAAATAATCGAAAAATACCATCTAATTTAACTAGAAGGGTATTTTAGTCAATTAACATATATTTAATAAAGAAAGATTGCATATTTTAAGGGATCATAGATTCTATTAATTTGAAAAATCTGATTTTACGAATTATTAGGTTTTTAATTCAGACATTCTGACAGAATATGTTTGAATGTATTCAAAAATAAAAGAATTCTTGAACCATAAAATAATAAAAATATTCTTGAACATATTTTTCTTGTAGAATAATAAATTCTCGAACCAGCAATTGAAGAATTAAAACAAAAAGTATATTAATTCTTATAGAATACATGTAACAATTGCTAAGAATTACATTTATTGTTAAAGAATAAAACTAAAAAACTTTCAAATCGGGGAAAAAAACATCAAAATCTAACAAATACACTAATTTATTCTAACAAAATAATGTTGCTAAGAGGCGTCGTTCAAATTTCGTGGTCCGTTCTTCACAACTTCTGTGGAAAAAAATCCAATGAATAAATTAGTGAGAAAATATCCATATTCCATTCTAGCATAATTGGAATTCGTGATTCCATTCTGATAGAATTGGAATTCATTTACCAATAATTGTTTTTATTCAGGGCATTCTAACAGAATATGTTCATGATTATCATAAAAAACATTCTTTTCTGATAGAATACTATAAACGAAGAAATACCATTCAGTTGAAGCATTTTAGCGAGCGCTTGGTGTGCATCAAAACAACTTTTAATTTTGGATGAACAACATACAAAAATTGTTCATACCACATCAGCCTTCACATAAATGAATAACATTATTCCAAGATTCAGTAATTGTCAAATACCAAATGCAATTAAAATTTCACTTGGGCATGATATACCTGGCCTCCTGTAACATATTGTATGGCTGTAACACATTGTATGGCAGAGTAAATATAAAGAAAGCAAAAGCAGTTAGTTCCATCCAAACTCAAATTATACAAAGGAATCATAAAAACAACAAAAAAAATCTCTACCTTTAGATGGAGCAGCCGGCTATGACAACCCCACCTTCACCTTCTTCTTCGTCTTCTGGAACGACCACACACTCTAGTGTAGTGTTTTCTTCTTGTTCTGTCGATCAAAGCACAAAACATACACCACCCCCAAATCACTACTTCTAAGAAACAGAAGTTGACGCAGCTAGAGGCTGCTAAAACAAAAAAAAAAAACAAAAAAAAAAACTAATTTCTTCCTTCTTCATTTCCTGTGAATCAACAAACCCAAATTCCCTTCATTTTCATTGATTTCCCAGCAAACCCAAACACCCTAACGATTTCTATCAAACAAACAAACAAAATCCAAAAAGAAATTTTTACCTGTGGTTGATTTGGAACTGCCAAAACAAGGAAACATCGTGATCTTCGAGCAAACACCACCGAGGTCCTCACCTGCGACAGATGGCTGCCATCAGAACCCCCTTTCCCCTCGTTTTCTTCCTTCTCTGTTGTTCCCATCGAACACAAAGCCGCACAGGTTTCACCTTGCCACTGCCGCTCCTTGCGAAGCCGGACATCACACCTCGCAGCCGGAAGAGACGAGCAAAACTCCGTTGTTTCTTCATTTGGCTTCTGTCGACCAGAGGGAGGAGACGCGAAGAAGAGGAGGTGCGATTTTGGGAGGTGTCGATCGGATTTGAGAAGCGAAGAAGGAAAAAACGATACTGGCTACAATTTAGGGTTTTTGAATCTTGATGCCGATTGAATGTTATAAATATATCTGTGCTTCTTGCGATTTACTAGGAATACAGCTAAGAAGAGTCAATGGTTACCATAATTATAGGATATTATTTGTGGAAACTAGTTATCAAATTACCTATTTACCCTTATTTATTTATTTAATTATTTATTTTTATTTTAAATTTTGATTGACCCACATTTATGTTGGATTAGTGTCTAAGTCCATAACTATTTTGGTATGTACTTGACCCGATTATGAGCATGGTCCTTTTGAGTTGCCTTCACCATAGCAATATGTAGGATGAATTAAGGAGAGAAAGGTTTAATTATGATTTATTAATATATTATAAGAATAATATATTAAAGGAGAAATCATATTGTTTAATTAATATTAGTCAAGAATTAATTAAGAATTAATTTAGTGGCTAAAAGAGATTAATTAAACTTAGGGGACTGGATTTGTAATTATAAGATAATTGCAATTGGGCTATGGATCACCTAAATAATATAGGTTGGACGAATTCTATGGGAAGCCCATAAGAAATTCGTCCAAGGGATATGTTAAAGGAGTCCATGGGCTGCTTAGGGCTTAAGCAGCCAGATTAGGGTTTCCAAGTTGTAAACCCTAATAGCCTACATGTATATAAAGGCCCCCTATGCCCCAAAAACGTGGACAAGTAATCCTTTAGGGTTTCCAGCCGTTTTTGGTGCCTCCTCTCTCCTCCCTCTTCATCCAAGTTGCTTAGTGGTGTTTGTGACTCCATTAGAGGTGCAACACTTGAGGCACTAAGCTTTCTGAAGCCAATCAAAGCAAGGAATTGATTGTTATTGCTATATAACAATCAAAGGTAATTACTAAACCCTTATTTCAGTTCTTATTTGATAGATCTAGGGTTTATTGCTTTGGATTATCAATTGCATGTTCATTAGACAAACTAGATCCAAAGCTATTAGGGTTTGCATGTACAACATAGGATTGATGTATTGCTCGAAACCCATCAATTTATGCATACAATAACACAATAATTAGTTTAAACAAATGAACCTAACTCTCTCTCTCTCTCTCTCTCTTTATATATATATATTATATATATATATATATATATATATATATATATATATATATATATATATATATATATATATATATATATATATATCTATATATATATATATATATATATATGTTTCGCTTTTTTAATTTAGCATGTATTTTGTTTAATTAATGAAGTATTTTCCTTTTTTTATTTTTAATTGTTTATATTTTATTCAATTAAAAAAACAAAAGTGTGGTAAATTAAGTTATGACACCCATCAGTTTTGTAATATGTGGTAAAAACACTTGAAAATATGGTGAGTGTCATATAACACCCACCAACCTAATTCTGAAACATGACGAGATATTTCTCATAGTGATAAACTAATTACCATGGTTCTAAAAAACGTGTCATGGCGCGCCTCAAGGCGTGTCATGGCGCGAGGCGTGGTGTAGCCGTTACGAAAACGTCTAAGGCGGGTTTGTTAAGCTTGACGCCCAATAACGTGTCAAGCGCACCTTATCACGATATGACGCAGATTTTTTTCAAGGTGCGAATTTTTTTGTTTTTTATTTTTTATTTTTTATCGGACTTAAAATAATTGAATTTTTGTTAACTTTTTATATTAAATACTAATATAACACTTCTAAAAACTTGATATACTTGATAAAAATCAATAATTATATGATTTATCTCTTTTAATATATATAAAATAGCCACGCCTTGAAAAACGTCATGGCTCCCAAGGCTTGTCATGACTTAACTTTTACCTTGCCGCCAAGACACGCCTCACGTTATTTAGAACCTTACTAATTACTGTCAACAGTTCAATATCTTCGACTATCGGTTTAAGATAAACATTACATTGATTTATCTCATTCAAAATACATTTTGATATTTACCAACTCATTAAAAGGTTTTATATATGGTATTAGGTATAGATGCATTTTTCAACAAAATTGGAAGAATTCATAAGCAATTTGTTGTCAGATTAACATGCGTTGCGTCTTGAGAAAATCGATCGTTGTAGCAAACATGACGAGATTTTGGGTTCAACCATGACTCAGTTTTCCTGCAGGTTTACCATGCATCCATGTGAAACTGGTAATTTGTGAGTAAAATTAATTTAAAACGATCTCATTTTAAACAACTTAATTTGGTTAAAATCATAACAATCTTTTTGCACGTCTCTAGTTTCAATGATCTCTTTTAATTAATTCATAGCAATATTTTTTTAGAATGGCTAGATTTTATTAAAACACCAGCAAAAAGCTAGCAAAACTCCATGACAATTACAAATTCATTGCAATATTGTATATCGATGTTTCGTGGAACTTGTTTGAAGTATATTTAAATCTGAATCAAGTGTCCATGTGAACCCAAATATTTAAAGTTGACTTTGTTAGAGTATATATACATTTATATAAATGAAACAAAAATGGTAAATATCATTTGACAATTTGTGAAGATGAGATTAGAGGGTGGTATGGGTTTTCTCTTGGCTGTTCTTTTTGCAATTACGCTCATTTCTCATATGGTAACAGCCGAAGCACAACGAGAACGAGTAGTGTCCATTCCACCGCCACCACGGGCTACCGGAAGTTGGGGCGGCAGCTGGAGTTGTTGGGGTGACCGCCTATGCGACAAGAAAAGAGGTAATTCTAATTAATGATTTGTAAAGTTGAAAATAACTATAAAAAAGACCATCCTTCTTATTTACTCACTTAATTTTTCCTTTCAAGTAATATATATTATCATGAGATCGTTATTTTGTTCTTATGCATGTTTGCTCATATTTCTTATTTGTTATAAACAGTGCGAAGACCGGTATCACCACCACGTGCTATCCGCAAGAAAGGACGTTAAGATGATAAAGTCAAGATAATGGTGATGGTGTGTGGGTTACATGAGCAAGAGAATCCGTCCTCCTACTAATAATATGTACTCTTTATCTCGAAATTAATATATATGGTCTTTGAGTATTAAATGTGTTAGATTTGTTCATCTTCAGTTTTAGATATAACCCAATAATTATATTTTGTTCTAGTTTAGCTTTTCAGTTTCAAATTACCTTCCTCTTCCTTCCTAATTTCTCTTCAGAACTGCTAAAGTTTCACCAACAAACACATTTTATGGTTTAAAATTGTGCTTATAACTAATATCGTCTATCCTCTTTTCCTTCTTTTTTTATGTCATTTGATGCATAATGTACGTAACCCAAATCACGAGGCTAATTAATGCATCTGAGGGTCATTTTTTACATCCGTTCCCACCCTGTATTGCCCCTCCATCAGCCGTTCTTTAACTTAATTAGCAATTTATTCACAGTATAATTAACAATTAATTAAAAGATACAAAATGAAAACAAAATACACAAAAAGAGGTTGATGAGTATTTGCTATGGGGCTGTATGGAGTATTTGGAAATCACGAAACGAAAGGTTGTTCAACAACAAAAGGAGACAACCTACCACAGTGGCGGATATTACTATATCTACAGTATTTAGTGTTGGTTCAGGCCCCACAAAACACACACAATCACACACACGCTTAGACTCACGTAATGTAGATTTTGAGTTTTACTACCTGAACACTTTTCATTAATCTCACAATTAACATTTGAATAAGAAACAAACAAACTTGATCCTAAAGAAAAGGTACCTAACCTATTTAAGCCCATGACTTTTGACCTGGTAGACTCTAATAAAACTTCTAAAATACAAGAATAAACAAGTGAGTTACAATATGCTAAACTATTGTAAACCCATGAACTGATCCACAAACACCCCGATTAACCCAACATTTACTTGGGCGAAATACCGGGGAAAATCAGAAGAGATTAGTTGGAGAGATTGGTGTTTAAACCCCTTTACTGGATTGTAATTCCTTTTCCGTTTTCTGTTTGCTTATTTTGTACTCAGCTCCTAGCACCTTGCTGGGTTCTTTATTTTTTTTAATATATATTTCATTTGCCGGTAAAAAAAAAAAAAAAGTTAAAGATCTGTCGGATAACATGTATTTGTTAATTAATTGAGTTCGTAGCCAGATAGCTACTTAGCTAGCTATTAATATTCTTTCAAAAACACATCATTTCTTTTCTATATCAGTATCCAAATACTTAAGCTGATGATATATGCTAAATCAACATACTACATGCACTTTCATATTTATTTATGTTTTTCAATTACTTGCATAGTATTACTCTAAAAATAGTTCATTTGTAAAAAATGGAGTTTGAAGTTTTAGTTGTCAATTAGTCTTTTTTTTTTATTTATAGATTTCTAGTTTTCTTTTATCTAATATATAGTTATAATTTAAAATGGACAAAATTGCAAAAAAGGTCCTTGTGGTATGCATTTTTTTGAGGTTTTAGTCCAAACCCAGACTTTTTTGGTTTCATGGTCATTTTAAGCTAGTTTTGTTGTGTTTTTTGTCCCTCTGAATAGTAAAATGACTGTAATACTCTTGGGGTATTTATTTTTCATTTTTCTTTCATTTCTTCTTAAATCTAATAGTAATTTATTTATTTTAATAATTAAAAAAATAAGAAGGGGCCCACATTCTCTCTCTCTCTCTCTCTCTCTCTCTCTCTCTCTCTCTCTCTCTCTCTCTCTCTCTCTCTCTCTCTCTCTCTCTCTCTCTCTCTCTCTCTCGTGAAATCAAGAACAACACTACAAGAAACGGGACCTATAGGGACAACAAATGTCGTCTCTATAGGTTAAAAAGTCATCCCTATAGGTATGCAGGACGACCTGTCGTCCCTATAGCTTTCATCACCATAGCCCCGTCGTAATAGATCTTTTTGGTTGTCGCTATAAATATCGTCGCAATAGGTATCCTTTAGAGACACATGTCGTCTTGTTCTGGTTTGTCGCGATACGATGCCGCTCTCCATAGACGAAGCTATAAAGACAACATGTCGTCTCCATAGATATAGATAGATATGTAGAGTCGACGCGTCATATCCTTTAGTAACATGTCGTAGTGGTAGATGTACCAGTAAAGATGACATGTCGTCTCTATAAATGCACCTATAGAAACGACATGTTTTCTCTATAGGTATGTCAATACAGCTGATTTTTTTTTCTCTATAATTTCCCAATTTTCACATCACAAAATTGCTAAAACAATAAATTTACAAAATAGCTAAAACGGTTGATTTAATTGCAAAACATTAAAATATGATAAAATCTCAAAACACTACATTATTGCAAATATAATTCATATGAAGAACAAAATTATTAACTTGAGGAAATTTGCATAATCATCGCATGCCTTATCATTTGTGTACATAACACTACATTCTACATGATTTATAAAAAGAAACAGCATCAACAATGGATTGCTTCTCATCATTCATGCCCTTCTTTGCTCCCTAAAGATCTTCTTCCAAATACCACCGCTGTCAAATATTTGGGTGATGCTGGATTTTTCATGGACTCCTATTTTCTTTTTGATTTCTGCCTTTTCGGTTAAATAAAAAGTCAAAAAAGTAGTAGCCATTACCTGACATATGATAGTTTGTACATCTCTCTGTGAATCAATTCGGTATTGACCATCTCTCTATGCAAATTGCATATTAAAGAGAGATAAACAACAATGAAATAGAAGTAATTTATTTTCCATTTTTTAAAAAGTACAATACAATAATAAGCAAGTAAGTAAAGTAAAGTTACAAGATAATCAAGCTCCTTGATATGTGGGAAGACGCCTCCTCCTATACGCACCATCCATAGGAACTTATTTATGTCATCACCTGACACACACATGAACATAAATGAAAACTTTAAATAATTAATTTCTTATTTTCAATTTTTTTTAAAAAAGAAAAAAGGAAAACCAACCTCCAAAAACAACAAGGACATTAAAGGAATTTTGGGTATTAATGTAAAAGAACAAGAAGACACCATTAGAATAGAAACCTTTGTGGTGGGCGATAGTTCTTAGTAGATTCCTTGAATAAATAAATTTTAAAAAAAAGTAATGATTACTAACAATCACAATAGGACAGGAAAAAAGATGTTGTGCTGCATTGGGACAGGGTCTCGCTCTCTTCTGTGCAAAAGACATAAATGCCCTCACACTGACTTGGAATGCAAAGAAATGAATAAAAAAAGCACATTTACAATTACCAACAGTTTACCCTGCAACATTGTTCTTGTATTACCATTCAAGACATCTGAATCCTTGGTGCCAATAAGCTATATGATATATATATATATATATATATATATATATATATATAAATGGCCATTTATATTGGACCAAATCCAAACCACATGGACGAAAAATGCAACTTACCCTATTTTTCATTACTTTATAAGTGGAAATTATTATAAGGAAAATGCATTATTTATAAAGATTATGTTGAACTTACAATATGGAGCACAGGTGTAGGTCCTTGTCCTTTGGCTGGATTTTTTGAACAACAACATGACAAGCTTCTCAAATAGGATGAACTCCATGGAGGTGCTCATGCCACATATATATCTTCCTGTATCAGCAAATAATGGGATGAACTCCATAGAGGGCAAAATAGTCATTTTACAAGGGAAAAGAAATTACCCCCAATTAAAAAGACCAGCAACAGCCTTGTGCTAACAAACATATTGTTTTTCAGTATTCTTTACAGAATCATGTAAAGCTTCTAATTCAGCCAAACTCCTCAAAAAACTCTACCCTGCGTTGGAGGTGCAAAATAAAAACATAAGTTGTTGATCAATAAGATAATATATGAACTTTTATATGCTGAATGTTACCTCTACCCGGTGTAACACGACTTTCAACAGCTTCACTCTGGCTTCCAACACGTGCTCCCTATAAAAAATCAGATTTGATAATTGATATTAAAAAGAAAAGCAAACAAATATAAACATCTAAACATAACCACTAAATGACCAGATTAAATAGTGTATTGTAGAAAACTAGAGTAACAAAAAAGTAAAAAGAATAATAGCAATGTTGGTGTGCATACCGTTGAGAATATGTTACCTTTTCCATTTTAACTTTTATGCAATGTTTTAGACTAAGTTAATTTGTTAAAGTTAAAAACAAGGAAAACTAAAGATCTTGAGACCAATGTCACTCGCCCAGATTTGGAGCCATTAAAAACATCATTCTTTTGAAGATTACCCTGAGAATTGCTAATATCTGCCAGCACTTTTCTTCCCACTTTACCTTGAGTTGTGATGTGAAGCATAAAATTGTTAAAAAGTTGTACAAACAAGAAAACTTGTTTTACTGAAAGTAAAGTTGCATAATATTACTAGAGCTGGTGAAACATACCAAACAAATTAGAGCACAAAAAAAAAAAAAAAAAAAAAAAAACCAAACTTCAACAACTTACACTCCTATGATAAAAGCATATTACATGTTGATCAAATCAGATTACTTAAACGTGGTTGTGTATGAAATCAGCAAATACATAGATTGTGTATGAAATCAGAAAAGAACAAATTTTAGATAACTATAAAATCAGATTAAAAAAAATCAACAAAGACATGACATTCAAACAATGGCAAAGAAATCGAAACTTACCTGAGTCGTCGTTGCCTTAAAACGTGGTATGTTCTAAGTTCCTAATTCCCTTTATAGGTTGTCATTGTTGGATTAGTGTCTAAGTCCATAACTATTTTGGTATGTACTTGAACCGATTATGAGCATGGTCCTTTTGGGTTGCCTTCACCATAGCAATATGTAGGATGAATTAAGGAGAGAAAGGTTTAATTATGATTTATTAATATATTATGAGAATAATATATTAAAGGAGAAATCATATTGTTTAATTAATATTAGTCAAGAATTAATTAAGAATTAATTTAGTGGCTAAAAGAGATTAATTAAACTTAGGGGACTATATTTGTAATTATAAGATAATTGCAATTGGGCTATGGATTACCTAAATAATATAGGTTGGACGAATTCTATGGGAAGCCCATAAGGAATTCGTCCAAGGGATATGTTAAAGGAGTCCATGGGCTGCTTAGGGCTTAAGCAGCCAGATTAGGGTTTCCTAGTTGTAAACCC